TTATTTTTTTATTTTTTTCCATTGTTGTTTTCAACAATTTATTTTTGATTCTTTTAAAAAGTGAAGTTCAAAAAAATATTTTATATGATCTTTATGAAACTATGTTAAAAAATGTGTCTCGCATTTTCCATGTCACTACCGAAACAGTGCATGCTTCAGTCCATTGGCTGAGACTGAAATTAACTAGACCTCTACATTTATGATCAGGAAATATGTATGTGTCTCTCTCTCTCATAGCTACAGGGGGAGTAGATAGGCCCCATCATTTTGAGGTAAATGTGTTCAAAAGTCTGAAAATCAAGCACACTTTTTTGGTAGTTATTCAATATCATTTCATTTTTATGTGTGTACAACTGTTCAGAACTGTGCTAGCTAAGCCTGTGCTGATTAGCATCTTTGAGATAGGTTTTAGTTGTGTTTTAGTATGCGAGTTAAAATTCTATGCGATGTGGTTGCTACCAAAACATGGGATGTTTTGTCAAAAATAAAGTATATAGAATTATAAACTAAGATGTTATTGTATAAGCTCACATTTGTTAATGTTAAGGTGAAGACCTGAGGGCTTAATAGTCTCTAATGCTACAGCAATCTGAGAGGCATCCTTTAAAGGTCCCATATTGTCAAAACTGAAATTTCCTGGCTTTTTTCACGATAACTGAGGTCTAGGTGCTATGTAACTACCATATAAGTTTCAAAACAGTCAGTCCACAGTAAAATGCACACAGTCTGCATAAAGTAGCAGTGATTTTTCTCGAACCGTTGTGACTTCCGTAAAAAGTTGACGTCAGAACTACACAGCCTTCAGTCACCACCCCGAGCACCGCCCACCCTCCCACTCTCCTTTTGCCAAACCCCCAGACAACATGTTTAGTAAAGACAAACTCACCGTGTCTGTCTAGTCATGATGAAGATGTATATACATTTCAATTTCAGCAGGCAACTATTTTTACAGCTACATTATTGTTCCAGCCACAATTAATCACAACAATGTATATACAATTACAAATGATTATATATAAATCGTCAGTTTGTTGTTTTACACACATGCACAAAGACATTATTTCATATACGACATAGTCGTGAGATGCAAGAAATAGACATATGGCAAGGAATCTGTAGACGCGCCCATAACAACAAAAGACAATACTTTATTGAACCTTTTCTGATAAGAAGTGTGCGCTGCAAACGCGAGCATTTTTGACGATCGTTTCTGTCCAGTCTGCTCGTTTTATCGCGTTTAACCACAGCTGTCGTCGTTTTTTTGTCTGGCAGTGGCAGCAGATACGCGCTCAAATTTCTAATTTGAGGCTGTATTACGTCGATTCTTGCATCCAACATCACAACAAGATGATATTTTAAGCTCCTTATGTAGCCGAATCTGCACTGGTTTGAATGGACCGCCTCAAGTTTCTCCTTTGTTTTGCTGCCTCCAGCTAGCGCTGTGACGTCGCTGACCCTAGTTACCTGTGGTTTGGCCTGGCCATGCGTCACTCAGGTAAAAATATATTGAGATGGTTTTTGGTACTTATACCGCAAATATATATTCTTAAGGACATCAAAACCTAAAATAAAACTCCAGAAAGGTTATTACCTTATTACCACTACAGTGCCATCTATAGTTATTACTTTTAGAGGGCTTTCTCTGATATACAAATTTAGAAGTTCTGTAGCTATCAGAAGCAGATACGGGGAGATCGGCCATCCCTGCCTGACTCCACGATTCAGAGTAAATCTACTGTAGGAGAGGAACCGCTGCTGAGTTTGATACAGCTATTGCAATTAATATAAAGCATTTTAATAGACCTGCAAAAAAGTCACCAAATCCCACCTTGCGAAAAGTCTGTAACAGAAGTTCAAATTCCAGGGAATCAAAGGCTTTATAATAGTCTAAGAAGAGAATAAAATTATCATTAGAGAAGTCAGAATGATCTAGAATATCTAAAACCAGACGTATATTATTGAAAATGTGCCTTTTTTTGTAGAAAGCCAGATTGACATTCATCAATTAGATTATTCAAAACACATTTTAGTCTTTTTGATAAAACCAAAGCAATAATTTTTTTATCGTTATTTAGCAATGTAATTTGGCTGCCAACTGTCAATTAACAAGGGATCTTTATTTGGTTTTGAAAGTTATAAGTGCTTGACACAAAGTCGGAGGAAGCAAGGCTCTTTCTATACTCTCTAATTAGAAGCATACAGATTACTATAAAACTCAGAACAAAAATTGGCAATCATTTTAGGGTCCTCCGCGATATTCCCATTAATCCTCGATTTTTCAATAGGATTATTTTTAGCTTGTTGCCTCTCAAGTCTAAAAATATAAGCAGAGCTCTTTTCGCCCACTTCAAGCCATTTTCTCCGAAACCTTATAAAGGCTGCTTCAGCCTTGTCTTTGTAGATTTCCTCTAGTTTATGTTTCTATTCAGTGAGTTCTTCTTATTCCAATTCTGATAGTTATTCTACTTTTTTAGATAATAAAGTAGAGATTTTAAATAAAATGTTATCCTCTTTAACTTTACTCTTTTTTGCCAGCTCACTACAATTTTTCCTAAAAATAAAAAAAAAGTCCCTATTTCAAATTTGAGAAGTTCCTAATTGCTACAGTATTTATTTTATTTTTTGTTTTTGTTTCAATTTTTGCTTTATTCCAGTAAGTCAAAATATTTATTTTTCTATGCTGGTGATTATTTCGTTATGTTGAAGTACTCAATTATTTAATTTTGTGTATGCAGACTTTTGAGTTAAATTTACAGAAGATTTAAAGGGAATACTTATTGAAATAGCCTTGTAGTCGGCATTACATCAGTAACAATATTATCTAAATCCTTAGATGTAAGCCAATAATCAATCCTGGACTGACTAGATAAAGAATTATTACTCCAAGTAAGGCATTCTTGTGATGGGTGAGATTTTCTCCATGTTCGATTAAGGAAAATTTCTCCATAAACGTAATTACATAATCAGGACTTAGACTTCCAGCCTGAGGAGGCCATCTGTCTAACCAACAGAATGACAATGAAATCGCCTCCAAAGATCAGAGAGGAGTTGGGATATATGGCTAAAACACGAGTCACCCGATCACCTAATCTATCAAAAAAGGCCTTATTTTCTCTTTGTAAATTAAAACCAGAAACATTAATAATAATACAAGTTGAATTTAAAATTTCAAGGGCAAGTAGAATATAATGTCCAGACACATCACATTCAGAACAGAATATTTTCCCTTTAAATCGATTTTTCAAGATACAAAATGAGTAGTGGCGTGAGATAACCATAAATCTAGTCCCCATTGCTACCTCCAAAAATGCACATCTTGAATATCAGAATGGCATTCTTGTAAGAAACAAAAATCTGTATTAAAGGGGTCATATGATGCGATTTAAATTTTTCCTTTCTCTTTGGAGTGTTACAAGCTCTTGGTGCATAAAGAAGATCTGTAAAGTTGCAAAGACTAAAGTCTCAAAACCAAAGAGATATTCTTTATAAAAGTTAAGAGTTAACCACGCCTACCTAAAACAGCTCGTTCTAACACGCCCCCACATACCTACGTCACTATGTGGGAAGATTTGCATAACGCCGCCCAAATGTTCACGCAAAGAAAGAAGGCGTAACTTTTATTCTTGCTGTAGTATTGTTGCCGCCGCCGCCATGTCGTGAAGGCACTGTGTTTCGTTGTGAAAGCAAAATTACTTTTCACCGTGGACGAAGCGGAGTCCGGCACGGGGTCGTCACATGTGGTTGCCGCAGGCATCACAGTATGGTAAGGGACGTAACATTTCCGTCACACGCTTGAGGAATTCGGCCTCAGTTACAAAAAAAGGCTTTCCTCTTAACAATGTTACGTAACCCTCTACAATTAAGAGAAACAATAGATAAAGACATAAGGCAAAAACCTAAAGAAAACACGAACAGTTTAACCCAGAAGTGTATATATTAGTGATGAGAACAGCAACCCCCCGGAGCCGTGTGAGACACTTTTTTTTGTGGAAGGGTGCTTTTTATTTCACGTCTTTTGAACAGAAGGAATGCAACACCCGCTGAGTACAACGATAGAGCTTGAAAGATCAAAGACAATTTTTAATATAACTCCGACTGGATTCGTCTGAAAGAAGTCCTATACACCTAGGATGCATCGGTGGTGAGTAAAACGCAGCCTAATTTTCATTTTGGGGCGAACTAACCCTTTAAATAGAGTTTGGCGCTTTTTTGATCTGCCGTTGATCTCGCCTCGCGGCGATGACGTCATCACTAGCGCGCGCTCGCTCATTCAGCAGCGTCGAGTCTTCTGAGGAACCATCAAACACACTTTATACAGTATGTTTCTGCCTCGTTTTCATCGAGTACCGCGCTGTTTGTGTGTTTGCTAGAACAGCAGGCAACAAACATTCAGACCTGAGCGATTTTGTGTTTCTGTGTTCTTGTGAATGATTATTCGATGCTTGTGGTGATAACGTTGCTGTTGCCGAATGTCTCGTGATCTGTGAGGGGAATGGATCTGCGAATTTATTGCTAACATTATTTCTCTTTTGAGATTTATCTTGTGGCAGAATAAATTTGTTACTTTACGTGGTTAAAATGAAGAACTGACACTGCTAAATACTTCATATTGAGCCTACATGTGCCACTTGGGACATTTTAAATCTATACATAAATATGAACAGATTTATAGACACGGGAAACATTAAAATCTTTCTGTTTAAAGAGGATTTATTATCACTATCAATTTCTGCATATAAAAGTATAACATAAGTAATTTAATTACTTTATTAATCTGAATGTAGTTATTAGGAAACCAAACTATATTTAGATATTAAGTGCTTCAGTGTATATTGTCCTCAGTTATATGTCGCTTTGGATAAAAGCGTCTGCTAAATGTAAATTTGTAGTTCTCACTACAGAAACTTGGGATTTGTGCCTATAATGTTTAAAAATAATAATGATTGTAAGATTTACTAAAAAAAATGCAATTAAACTTATTTTTTCTTTCATTTCAGAGCTGATGGAAGAGAACGAGGAGAGTGAAGAACTGAGTGAAGTGGAGGAGAAACATCATGACAAACCTGGAGAAAAACCCTTGAGTCGCTCAAACTCTAAAAAGACATTTTTAAAGAAATCTTTCACCTGCACTCAGTGTGGAAAGAGTTTCTCAAACAAACAAAGTCTTAAGCGTCACATAAGAGTTCATACTGGAGAAAAGACACATGCATGCGATCAGTGCGGGAAGAGCTTCATGCGATCATCTGACCTTGCGAGACACATGAGAATGCACTCTGGAGAGAAGCCGTTCACATGTGATCACTGCGGGAAGAGGTTTCCATACAAAGAAAGTCTTAAAGTTCACATGAGAGTTCATACTGGAGAGAAGCCATTCACTTGTGATCAGTGCGAAAAGAGATTCTCCAACAAACAAAATCTAGAGATTCACATGAGAGTTCATACTGGAGAGAAGCCGTTCACCTGCACTCAGTGTGGAAAGAGTTTCACATACAAAGGAAATATTAAAGTTCACTTGAGAACCCACACTGGAGAAAGACCGTTCACATGCGATCAGTGCAGGAAGAGCTTCTCACAATTAGCACACCTTAAAGAGCACATGAACATCCACACCGGAGAGAAGCTGTACGCATGTGATCAATGCGGAAACACATTTCTTTGGGCATCAGCCCTGAAGACACACCTGAGAGTTCATAAGAAGGAGAAGCCGCATTCATGTTCTGTATGTGGAAAGAGTTTTTCACTGCTGCCATATTTATTTAAACATCAGAAAATACATAATGATGTAAGAGATCATGTGTGCTTTGAGTGTGGGAAGACTTTTACTTCAGTGAGCAGTTTAAAACGGCACCAGATGATTCACACTGGAGAAAAACCGTACAAGTGTTCACACTGTGACAAGAGATTCAGTCAGTTAACACATCTGCAAACACATGAGAGGATCCACACTGGAGAGAAACCGCATGCATGTGATCAGTGCGGGAAGAGTTTCACTGTTAAAAGTCACCTGAAGATACACATGAGGATCCATGCAGTGGAGAAACCAGATCAGCGCAGTCTGAGATCACGTTAAGTTGTTCATCTTTATGTGCTGAGCAACAAAGTGAGTTTCCTAACAGCCACGATGAGCGACAGGACAGACAGTTTGTTGAATGCTTTGTATCTGCTTGGAAAGTTTCTCATTACGTATACATTTATTATTATTGAGATCCAAGTCATTATAATGAGAAAGTTATTCTCATTATTATGAGATAGGCATAATTATGAGAAAGTCTGATTATTTTTACGTTCATATTTAGATTTTGTAACTATGATGGAAAAAGGCTTCCATACTTTGTCTCATGATGTCTCATGACTGAAACTGACAAATACAAAGCAGCGCTGCACGGCTTTCTGTTTCTGGCACCCGCTTGTTACGGAGAAGGAACAGAAGTTCAGATGATTGTATTTGCTCTTGTTAGGGATGGGCGGATCGATCCTAAAGTATCGATATTTTCGATACTGCCATTGTATCAAAAAGATTGATTCTCAAATAGAAGTATCGATCCTATCTGTTTTTTATTTTTTTTGGGTTTTTGTTTTTAACGAGTGATTTTATGCTATATAATAGTAGTATAATCGAATTTTTTTGATTATTCTGATGTTTTGCTGGACATTGTAGTCGGGGGAGCTGTGGCGCTGATCAAGCGCTTCAGGATGCGCAGACGGGGGAAGAGAGCCGGCGCGCTCGTGAAGCTCAGACAGCGCGGATTCAGGACGTTGCCTAGCATCCATCTGGCGAACCTCCTCTCTCTACCCAGCAAAACGGATGAACTCCTTCTGCTCTCCCGGACAAATAAGGATTTTTCAAACTCTGCTGCTCTGTGTTTCACAGAAACCTGGCTGAAAGACGCCATTCCGGACAGCGCGTTGAGTCT